TTAGGGTTTAGGATTAAGGTTAGGGCTTAGGGTTAGGGTTTAGGGCTAGGGTTTAGGGTTAGGCTTCAGGGGTTGGGGTTTAGGGTTTCGGGCTTCGAGGTTAGGGTTTAGGGTTAGGGCTCTCTATCCTCACAGCTGTCGCCTTCTCCCCGGCCACCCCGAAGAAGCGCCGAAGGCGCCGGCCCAGGCGAACGAGAAGGCCTGCGCCTCAGGGTTGAAATAGGAGTTTAGGGCTTGGGGTTTAGGGTCGAGGGTTTCGGGTTTGAGGGCGGTTTTGGAGTTCGGGCGGTCAACTCTATAAGCCCTAAACCCTAAACCCAAATTCCTAAACCCTAAACCCTAAAACCCTAAAACCCCAAGGAAGAGCCTCGTCGGGGCTTGGGCCTGGGAGGTTTCGGAGGTCTCGAGGTGGGTTGCGTACGGCACCTCTTTAGCTTCCCCGCACTGGAACCTTCAGTCAGTAGGGCTTCGCCAAATGCTTTAGGGTTTAGGGTGTTTGGTTTAGGGTTTAGGGTTTAGGGTTTAGGGTTTAGGGTTTAGGGTTTAGGGTTTAGGGTTTAGGGTTTAGGGTTTAGGGTTTAGGGTTTAGGGTTTAGGGTTTAGGGTTTAGGGTTTAGGGCTTCTCGCCGCGCCGCGGCAGTAAATGTCATGCGGAGATGGCGCCCCAACACACCCAGGGGGTGTGAGGGGGCGGCATATGTCGCGGCGGCGTATATTGAAGTTGGAGCCACCACAACCAGAAAGGTTGGGTTGTTTTATTTTTCCCGCCCCCTGCTTACGCAGGCATCCACCCAACTTTTCTCCTTTTAGGGTTTCGGGCTAACGCCCTAAATTCCCACTTCCCACCCCCATCCTTTGAACGGTTGGGTAGGACACTCCACCCTCATCCTTTGAACGGGTCAGGGTTGTCAAAACCAGACCCAGAAAACAGACAGGGGCAGAAGGCCCTTCCCTCCGGGACCGCTCCGGGGCCAGGCCAGGACGGCCGGAGGGCCAAGGGGGAGGGGACGCCAGGGGCAGGGGGAAATTGGATCTCCCAGACCCAGAGCAATGCGGCAGCCCGAGGCACAGTAGACGTGAGCGGCGCACTTTCCCTCCCCGTTCATAGAGCTTCTTGTGGAGGTCGGTTTGTTGTTGCCTCTCCATTCAGGGTCCTGGGTCAGATATTGATCGATCTTCGCGGTGTCTTCGGCCCAGTAGATCCCCTTGCCGAATATGTCTGGGCTGTCCCTTCAAACCCTTTGTCAAGTCTATTGTTCCATCGATCTTTGTGGCTTCTTCGGCCAAGTAGATCCCCTTGTCGAGTAGACCCAGAAAACAGACGGGGGCAGAAGGCCCTTACCTCCGGGAGGGGGGGGGGAGGGGGAGGAGCGGCAGCACATGCCTGTGGATGGTCTGGTTGAGCTGGGCAAGGTTGGGGACAGTGACTTGATAGACCGCCTGCTGGGCATGAGCGGCGGCACCGCAGTGTACCGGGCCTTGGCCAAGCTCACAAACAAGGGCAACGCCAAAGTCAACAGGCTCTGCTGAAGCTCATGCCGGGCTTTTTCAGCATTGAGGGCATCGACTACCATCAAGTGACCGTGGACGATGCCTACATGGCACTTCAGGAAATCTTGGAGCCATGTGACAAGCCTGTCCTCGGAGCGCTTGTCGGAATGATCTCAGATCCCAACATTTGCTCAGAGGCATTTCGGATGAAAGGGCGGGGGGGGGAGGGGGGGAGGGGGGGGAAGGGGGGGGAGGGGGGGAGGGGACGGGGAGTAGGGGGGGAGGGGGGGGGGGGGAGGGAGGGGGGGGGGGGGGAGTGGGAGGGGGGGGGGGAGGGGGGGGGGAGGGGGGGGAGGAGGGGGAGGGAGGGGGTGGGGGGAGGGAAGGGGGCAGGTAGGGGGGGGCCAGGGGGGGGCCAGGGGGGGCGGGGCTAGGGGGGGGGAGGGGGGTCGGCGGCCAGAAGGTTCAAAAAACCGGTAGCGGGTTTTTGAGCAATCGCCCAGGCTGACCTGCCTTGCGGCCCCTCTCGTCCCTGAGCTGCACCTCCAGTGCCGGTGCAGTACCCCGCCTGGGGTACCCCGCCCCCCTTCTCCGATTCTCAAGTATTATTAAGAAACCCTAAACCTGACGCCCTATTCCCACGGTTGCGAAAGTGGCTTCTGCACGTCGCCCCTGGGCCCCCCTCCGGAGCCCCCCTGGTGCCGGGCCCCTGGCACGCTCAACACAACTCTTTAGGCTTGCATTGTAACTCCAAGCGATGGTGTTAATCGCTGTCGGGTGTAGTGCTGGGTCCAGGCACCCTAGAAGAGGGTGGGGACGGCCTAAGCAGGCCTGGGTGGGAATTTAGGGTTTAGGGTTTAGGGCTTAGGGTTTAGGGTTTAGGGTTTAGGGTTTAGGGTTTAGGGTTTAGGGTTTAGGGTTTAGGGTTTAGGGTTTAGGGTTTAGGGTTTAGGGGTTAGGGTTAGGGGTTAGGGGTTAGGGGTCTGAGGGTTGGTTAGGTTTAGGGTTTAGGGTTTGGGTTAGGGTGTAGGGTTAGGGTTATAGGTTTAGGGTTTTTAGGGTTTCGGCGTTTAGGGTTAGGTTTGTAGGGTTAGGGTTTAGGGGTTTAGGGTTTAGGGTTTAGGGTTAGGGTCTAGGGTTTAGGGTTTTAGGGTTTAGGGTTTTAGGTTTAGGGTTTAGGGTTTTTCAGGGTTTAGGGTTTGAGGGTTAGGGTTTAGGGTTTAGGGTTTAGGGTTTAGGGTTTAGGGTTTAGGGTTTTAGGGTTTTTAGGGTTTATGGTTTAGGGTTTAGGGTTTAGGGTTTAGGGTTTAGGGTTTAGGGTGTGTAGAAGGGAAGCTCGCTGGTGCTAAAAGCACCCGGGCCGCTCGCTTGCGTTAGCATGTAGTCCCACCCCAACCACCCAAACTATTCTCATTTAGGGTTTAGGGTTCACCCCCCAAACCCCCCTCAAGGGGGGCTTTCTTGCTTTTTGCAGAGAAAGAGCAGGGCGGGGTCTCCCGAGCTTCATGGAACCTGTCAGTGGCTCGTAGGCTTCTTGGAGCTTTCACGGAGTAAAATGGAAGGTGCCCAAAACCGTCAATTGCAATACCAAAAACCCACATTTTCGGGCTTGAAAGGGCAGCAAAAACGGTCGGGGTTAGCAGGGGCCTCGGCCGGCCCCTGCTTTTCGATGCTAAAACAGAACATTGCAGGCGAGTCCCAAGCAGGGAGGGGGTCCCAGAAGAATTCGGGAGGTTGCTACAAGGGTCGCAGGAAGGTCCCAGCGGGTTGGGGGGTCTCAGGACGGTTTGTGGTATTTTTCCATTTTTTTTGGCAAAATAGTCTTCTGAGACCCCCCCTTGCCTCAAACTCCGGCCCCCCCTTGAGAGGGAAAGTTTGCCTCCAAAAACACCCCAAATGAGGGGGACCCCAGGATCGGCCCGGGTCCCAGTTAAAAATGCGATTTTTTAGTACTGAAATCGACGGCTCTGGGTAGTCTCTCGTTTTCTGGATTTTTGACCAAAACCGAGCCTTCACCGGCTTCGGGATTTCAAGTTTTTCAAGGTTCTTCAAGGTTTTTCAGAATTTTTCAATGTTTTTTAAGGTTTTTCAATGTTTTTCAGGATATTTCAGAGTTTGTAACCCTCAGTTCTGATGGAGGGCAGCCCCCGCGACCTTTTCACAGCCTAGTTTTGGTCAAGGGGGGGTTGTATTTTTCAATTTTAAAGGCAAAATAGTCTTCTGAGACCCCCCCTTGCCTCAAACTCCGACCCCCCCTTGAAAGGGAAAGTTTGCCTCCAAAAACACCCCAAATGAGGGGGGTCCCCCAGATCGGCCCGGGTCCCAGTTAAAAATGCGATTTTTTAGTACTGAAATCGACGGCTCTGGGTGGTCTCTCGTTTTCTGGATTTTTGACCAAAACCGAGCGCGGTTTCAGGAGGTCCAGGAGCCCTTGGGAGGGGGTGTCAGGGGGGTTCTCAGGGGGGTCCCAAGGCAGTTCTGGGGGGGGTTCCAGTCCGGCGTTTCAGGAGGTCCGGGTCCCAGGAGGGTCCCAAGGGGGTCCCAGGGGGGTCCCAGGAGGGTCCCAGGGGGGTCCCAGAGGTTTTTGGGGGTGCCGGAGCAAAAAGGTCTTGCAAGCAGCCCGGGAGGCAAAATCGCTGCAGGAGCCCCCTGGACTGGCCCAGAGGGGGCGGGGTCCCCGGAATCTGCCAGCCCGGGCCCCATACCCCCCTGACCCCCTCAAAAAACACGAAAACACATCAATGGTGCGGGATTTGGGGTCCTAATTATATTAGGGCTGACGCCCTAGGTCTGAGGCGTAGCCAGTCACTGCCGTCTCGTCTACCGGGAGGCTTTACCCTCCCTCACCGTTCTGTGGAGACGCTCGGTCGGGGACCTCGGTCGAAGCCTCGAGCGCCCATGCATATGGACAGCGGCGCTCTCGGCAGTTTAGGGTTTAGGGTCTAGGGTTTAGGGTTTAGGGTTTAGGGTTTAGGGTTTAGGGTTTAGGGTTTAGGGTTTAGGGTTTAGGGTTTAGGGTTTAGGGTTTAGGGTTTAGGGTTTAGGGTTTAGGGTTTAGGGTTTAGGGTTTAGGGTTTGGGGGAGTTCTAACCCCGGTGAAAGCACATCTTCTGGCTTTTTCGATGGTCTGCGCCAAAGGTGAAGGTGAAATCCCGGTGACAACTCCAAAAAGAATGGGGTTCAGGGTTCGGGCGGGGGTTGAGAATCACCTGTCTGAGGGCTCTCGCAGCAGCTTCGGCGCCAAGCTCGAAAGCTCCGTGGCAATAGCCCTGAGTTCATCCGGTTCGTCTTCCACTTGCGCCTGCAAGTGCATAAGGTTTGAACTGTTTACGCCGACAAGACTCTGCAGAAAACCGTCGCCCCCTGATATAAAAGGCGACAAGGGATGCCGATAGGGGCCGCCTGATTGATAAAATATCCGAACCAGGGCGGATTTAGGGTCTAGGGTCGAGGGTTTAAGGTTTCGGGCTTTCAGGTCTTCGGTTGCAGGGCAAGAGGCCTCCCCATCCTCAAGCGTCACTTAGGCGCAGCATCGGCTCCCGCCAGCACGCCCTCCAAGCCAACATGGCCTCTGAGCTGCTGAGTTCAGAAGCCCTAAACCCTAAACCCTAAACCCTAAACCCTAAACCCTAAACCCTAAACCCTAAACCCTAAACCCTAAAGTGTACCATTCAGCTGCTAAGGCCAAACCAGCCGTGACCGCGGCCCAAACGACTGCGGCCAGCATGTCGTCGAGCACGGACAGCAAGCCCGCCCTGCTTCGAAGCTCTTTTGACTTAGTAAGTCTACTTAGTATCCCCTAGAACCCCTTAGTAAAATCCCCATATAGGGTTTGGGGTTTAGGGTTTAGGGTTTAGGGCTTAAGAACCCCGATTAGAATCCCCATAACCCACCTTACCAATCCTGCGTGCTAAGTCAAAAGGGCTTCCAAGTGGGGGTATTGGGTGGTTGGGAGACTTTTGTGGATTGGCGGGCTCAGGAAGTGAATTTGGAGTTTACCGTTGAGGGTTTAGGCTTAAAACCCTAAACCCCAAACTCTAAAAACTAAACCCAACACCCTAAACCCTAAACGTATTCTGCCGTGTGGCTGCAAGAAGTAGAGGCCGCCCCCAGGCACCAGGACAAGGAAGGCCGTCACGAAGAAGGGCATCACTGCATCCACGCATGGGTGGTACCTCTGTAGGGGATTAGGGTTTAGGGTTTAGGGTTTAGGGTTTAGGGTTTAGGGTTTAGGGTTTAGGTTTAGGGTTTAGGGTTTAGGGTTTAGGGTTTAGGGTTTAGGGTTTAGGGTTTAGGGTTTAGGGTTTAGGGGATCCGAAGTATGGGCCCCTAATTTGGGTCCCCTGTTATCTAGCCCTTGTACACAAGAGCAAATAACTTCGGATCCCTTCAAATCCCTTTAAACCAGGGTCAGGGACCATACCAAGGGCCCATGGTTCCAACCTTAGACTCTGGAGAGCAAGGGGGAGTTTCAAGTCCAAGGGTTTGGGTTTAGGGTTTAGGGTTTAGGGTTTAGGGTTTAGGGTTTAGGGTTTAGGGTTTAGGGTTTAGGGTTTAGGGTTTAGGGTTTAGGGTTTAGGGTTTAGGGTTTAGGGTTTAGGGTTTAGGATTATGGTTTGGTTTAGGGTTTCGGTCTTTAGGGTTTAGGGTTTAGGGTTTAGGGTTTAGGGTTGAGGGTTTAGGGTTTAGGGTTTAGGGTTTAGGGTTTAGGGTTTAGGGTTTAGGGTTTAGGTTTAGTTTAGGGTTTAGGGTTTTAGGGTTAGGGTTTAGGGTTTAGGGTACGGGGGTTTAGGGTACGGGGGGCAACCGAAGGAGGACAGGGAACAAAACAGTCAGCCCCAACAGAAGCCCTTGATTCCCCTGGAACAACCGAAGACAAAACCCAAAGCACAACCAAACACACCTTTTCCGTAGGGCGCATTGCCCACGTTTCTTGAGCCAAAAATATCCGGGTTCATTGACCCCTTCAACTCCCATCACCAACTCTTTTCTACAATACCAGTTGCAGCTCCGCACTCCCCCTGTCCTAGGATTTCCTAGGACACATTGGAGATGCCGTTCTTTGGCCAAAAACCGCCATTTAGGCAGCAGCCAGCTGCTTGAAATGCACATTATGGTTTAACGTCATCCAGGACGAACCTTCAGCTCATTGGCTGAATCCTTAACCATTGAGGATTTCTTCACCTCGTACTTGGAAAATTCACGTTCCAGCGGCCCGTTCCTCACCAAGGAACTCAGCATTCACCACCCAGCCATCCTTGAGGCAATGCTTACAAAGCGTCTTAGCCCTGGGCTGTGAATATCGCAGAACATCACAGTCACTGCTTGCGTGCATACAGTTCCCACCCACTGTTGTATACAAAGTGGCACTCGCAGGAATAACCACCGCTTTCTTGATCCACAGCCATTTATACAGCCGTCGAAAGAGGCACCATGCCAGTTCCCAGAGTATAATTGCTGCCACCAAATACGCAACAAGGTCTGAATTGTTGACAACCATTTCAATACCTTGAGCCAGAACCATCACCGTAGACGTGTTGGCGACCTTGCACACCCCTTCTTCTGAGCAAAAGAATCCAGCCGTGGACACTTCTTCGCCACCAGTTGCCATCCCTTGCAGAGATGCAGCCACCATCATGACCGCCATTGCAAGCGAGGCTTTTTTCAAGTCAGTTCCTTGAACCAACAGTCTGAGACCCCAAAGTGCCTTTTGCTTTGCGTACACCTGTCCACTCATTAACTTAGTCAACAGGTCAGCGATCATATACTCACCGCGAAGGTGCGCTATCACCATATAACCACGGTCCACCAGAGACCTGACACCGGCTGCTCGAATTCTCAGGTGTCTTGTTCTCCAGCTTCCAGCAGGATATTGAATGATCGAGCACGTTGAAACCGAATCTGTATACAGCACTTTTTGCAGCGATTCTTCACCTGTTCCAACCAAAGCGGCAATTATAGGGGTGCACGACTGAATCATCGTTGCTCCCTCTATGGACGCATGTAATTCAGCTTCAGCTGTACTTAAAGCCACCGTTGATTGTCTTTGTGTTGCCCACATCACTGGACAGTCACCCCACACCACCACCGCTCCTGAGTGGCTCTTTTCATTTTCACCTGCTGCAAAGCTGGCATCCGCGTAGGACTCCACCACCTTAACACCTCGTCCATAACGCAACACCTCATTCCTTTCTTTTTCGCATGTTGCGATTGCTCCGAACGTCAAGCCTAACGTTGGAGTTGCAGCAAGGTATCGGAAAACTTCCTCAGCCTTTTTAACCACAAATCGTGGCCTTCGGGATGTCCACAAAGACAACTGGCTCGTGCAGAACGCCAAATCAGGTCGAGTTTTGATTGCCACCCAGAGGAACTCCCCTACGGCACCTTGAGCCGCTCGCAAGGAAGGAATATCCACCTCCTCTTCTTCACCTGGAGTTTCTTTCACCATTGGCAGGTTACTCCCTTTTCCAGTTTCATCGATCTGATACCCTCGTCGGTTCAGCAAATCTCTCACAAAGTCCTCCTGGTTGAGAAAGAAGCTGCCATTTCGATACCAGATTTGGACACCCAAAAACTTCAGGAATCCATCACCGCAGCCTGGACCACAGAACTCGGGTTCAGAAGTTTTCCACTCCTTCCTAATCTGTTCCAAGGCCTCCCGGAGCACTGTCATAGTCCCAGCCATCAAAAAATCATCCACGTAAAGACCCATTGTCCCTACCAACTTGCTTGCACCTTCCGGCTTTTCTTGTGCCATAATAAGGAACAGACTTGGGTCTGCATTGGACCTCTGAAAGCTCATTGCTTGTCCATCCTTTGACACCCAAGACATACCTTGAAGACGTTGGTCTCGCCACTCCACCCATGCTGCAGGACTTTCGGCCAAACCGTACAAGGCCTTTCTCACAATCCACCGCTCCTCCTTTGTGCAAAGACCCAATTTCACCGCCGCCCTTGGGGGCTGCACCACCACCAAACGCCCTTCTCTTTGCGCCCTATTCATCGGCGCCGTCAGAAAAGCTTTGGAAATGTCTAAGCCAGCGATGATCCACACCATATATGCTGCGTGCCTCACTTGACACCTGAATGTAGTTGAATCTAAACCTGGAGCGTACAGCGAGTGACGACTGAGTGACCTCGGCCCTTCATATTCTGTAGCTGCCGTTGACGAAATGAAGTTTCCACATGCACAGAGACGGGCACGTCGCCTCCCTGTCCCTTGCTTCCGGGTAAACACCACCAGACTGGGAACGTACTCAATCACCGGTGCATTAGGCTCTTCCGCCAATTTGTCCAGCTTTTCTTGAGTTGTTGGTTCCACCACCTCCAACTCTTTCACCAAAGACGTCACCTCGTCCGACAATGATTCCCTCCACTTTTCCAGCTCTTGCATGGCTTCTTGTGTAGGGATTGTTTTTGTTTGCAGGAGCTCAACCTCCTCTGCTGCCTCAAGCGCGGTATTTTCTTGCACCATTTGCTGAACTTGAGCTGCTTTGACCAAAAACCTCGAGAGCTGTTCCTCAGCCCTTTTGGCTTTAACCAGCCATTCTCTAGTCCCTGATCCTTTCTCCTCATTCGACTCATTGGCCGATCCATGGAACTCGTCCAAAATGCAACATTCCTGTTCAGCAATTAGGCGTCGAATACTCAAATGCTCCTCTAGAGCCCATTGATGCGCTTCGAACACAGCGTAGTCGACTTCCTCTGCAAGGTCGTCCAGCGAGGTCTCTTTCAACGTCATTTTTAACAACTTCCTTTTTCACCTTCTTCAGCTTGTGGTTCCGGAAGAGGAAACTTGCATTGGAGAAGATAGCACCTATCCTTGTAGCTCAAACGCTCCATAAAAACAGGTGTGTACCCTGTCAAGGATACCCTGTTCCCTTTCCAAGGCATAGGACCATGCAGCTTTCTCGGAAAGAACGACATGAAGTTCCAGTGGATATCCACCAATTTTCCAGGTAAGACTTTCTTCCCATAGGATTGCTCCACCACTTCAGCTCCTTCCTCTAAGACCTTTTCATCCTCAACCCACAGCTGACCATCTTTATAGTCACCAAAGCCACACACATAATTGCAGCAATGCTTTTCATTGTGACTATCCCTATGCAATGACACCGGAGCATTGCATGAGATCTGAAGAGCAGAAAATTTGGCTTCAGGATTGTGGTGCCTCACGAATGATGCCAAATAACGACATAGCCATGGTCTTCGATGAGTCTCTTTTGTGATACCACACACTCCGCCATGAGTATAGTGGCCCAACACCAGAGCTCGCGTACTTGCGCACCAATTGTTGATACCACCTCTTCGATTCACCCTCTTTGGGTATACAATCCCTTCCAAAAGCTCCTCGCAGTCCACGTAATCATACATAGACCTTTCATACATTGACTTGGCTTTTTGCTCTTCTTTTTCCAACTGTGTTCCATCCCCAGCAGTCTCACTTTTGCAGACCAAATAAGCATTTTCATGAGGAGAACAGCAAGTCGGCCAATACTCATCACCAGGAACATTGTCCTCAACATCTGCATTTTCTTCCAGCTCCCCCAGACCCTGCATGTCATCCTCGAAAATTTCTAAGGGCGGACTCTCCCCCCGCTTGCGAAGCAAGCGCAAGGAGCCCACATGACCACGCAGTGAAGAGGCCGGGCTTTTCTCCATCAACCGATGGCGAACTGGAGGATCGCGAGGCGGAGGTAAAGGAGGTCCTTCCTCATCAGCAAACCGAAGCGCCGGTTTTTTCCCCTTGAGACGATGCTCTGGAGGAGAAGGCTCCTGTTCTTCTACCACCCCTTCCAGCTCCAATTCAGGCGGTTCCTTTATATTGGAAAAAATCGTAGTGCAGGGAAATAACACCAGTTCATCCGGATCTTTTGCAGTCCCTTGAGCTTCCACCCAATAACCACCAGGTAGGTCATCGCATGGACCCAAAAGAAGCGCAGGCTGCGTACGATCGACCCATTGCCGACCTTTCTTTGTTCCATCCGGACCCAGCAACTCCCACGGACGACGTTTGACTTGAATCTGAGCACCAAAAGGAAGCAATGCTTTAGGATTTAACCCCAACTCCCTTTCAGCTTTCTGCCACCGTAACATTGACCAATGGCGAGCAGCCAGTGCCCAGTACGCCGGCCCGAGTCGCGCCTCCTTTAAGAGCGACCTGACACCACGTTTG